GCTGAACCGATCCACCACAATGAACAAATAATCATGCCCACGCTTTGTAGTCGACAATCTTCCTAAGAAATCTATAGAAATATTCTTCCATGGTCTCGAAGGTACCGGCAATGGTAGATACAATCCCCGTTTCCTATTAGAAAGCTTCGATATGCAACATAGCTTACACCCTTCAACATACTTAGTAACGTCCTCCAACATTTTTGGCCAAAAGACATGACGCCGTAGATTGAGAAGCGTCTTCTGAATCCCAAAATGACATTGCACATGTGATGTATGTGCTTCTCGAATCCATTGCAATCAGTCTCCATCCTCCGGAATGCAAAGCAACGTCCCTCGATACAACAAACCATCTTCACAAATCTCATACTCCCCTCGTCGACCAGCCTTCGCCTGCTCGAACACACTGCTAAAGTCTATACTAGATGTGTACATCTGTACATACTCCAAAGGAACCAAGGGTTGAATGTGCGTCGCCACCAAGAGAGCCCTCATGGGTGGACGAGATAACATATCGGCTAACTTGTTCGTCGCCCCCTTCGTGTACCTAATGATGATGTCAAACGCCATCAAATAGGATATCCACTTCATGTGTCGTTCCTGCTGCAGCTTCTTCTGGGCATGTAAAAACTCCAATGGCTTGTGGTCTGAGTGCACAACCACCTCCTTTCCCAACAAATACACCCGCAAATGCTTGATTGCCTGATAAAGTGCATAAAACTCCTTGTCGTAGGTAGGGTAGTTCTGAATAGCACCCGTGAACTTCTCTGAATAGTACTCCATCAGCTTCCCATCCTGTATCAACACAACGCCCATAGTATAACTAGAAGCGCCGGTCTCTACCTCAAAGGTCCTCTACAAATTCGGTAACGTCAACACCGGTGCCTCCGAGATTTTCCTCTTTAGTAACTAAAAAACTTCCTCATGCGTCCTCCCCCACTCAAACTGACCTTCGCCTTTGTAAGGCCATGCAAAGGTGCCACATAAGTCGAAAAATACCGAATGAACTTGCGCAAATACTAGCAAGCTCCCATGAAGCTTCTCACCTCCGTCACTATCCTAGGTGTCGTCCACTTTGTGATCACTATCACCTTACTTGGATCTATCCTCCGCTGGCCCTTCCCCACAATGAAGCCGAGATACACCAACTCGTCCTTCCCAAATTCGCACTTCTTCCCATTGAGCTTCAGTTGTCTGTTCTGCAGAACTTCAAACACCTTCTCGACATTAACAAGATGCTCCTCCCAGGTCCTACTGTACACCAAGATATCATTGAGGTAAATTATCACAAAATCCTCTATAAATGGTCGCAAAAAATCATTCATGAGTCTCATAAAGGTAGCCGGAGCGTTGCACAATCCAAACGACATCACCAACCACTCGAACATGCACTGCTTGGTTTTGAACGCAATCTTCCAAGTGTCATCCTCCCGAATCCTCACCTGATGGTAACCAGACTTCAAATCCAACTTCGTGAAGAACCTCGCTCCCTCTAACTGATCCATGAGATCATCAATCCTAGGTAATGGGTAGCGATTCTTGATGGTTATTTTGTTGAGCGCCCGGTAATCCATGCACATACGCCAGTCTCCATCCTTTTTGGGCACCAACAATACTGGTGACCCGCAAGGTGAACAACTCGGCACAATCACTCCTGTCTCCAAAAGCTCCTGAACATGCCTCTTGATTTCCTCAGACTCCTCACAGATGTGCGGTATAGACCTATATTCGATAAGGAACTCTCGTCGGTCAACATAATCTCATGCTCCACACCACGTCGCAGTGGTAGTCTCGTGATCTCCGAAAACAAGTCCGCGTACTTGGTCTTCAACCTGTCAAAATCTCCCTCCTGAAGCTTGCTTAAGGTAGTCAGACACACCTTACTCACCTGCTCCTCATAAGGCCTAATGAATAACAATACAAACTTTTTGTTCGCATTCACTAGCCTCTTTGCATGAGTCACCATCACAAAACTCGTCTCCTGTGGAAGAGATGTCGAACGAAATATGAATTGCTCACCA